GGAATATCCTGCTATTGCCCAGAATCACGGACATCCTGCGGCTGTGGTTCCATAGGACCCGCCCCTTCACATGCTCCAGCAGCTCATAGATGGGGTAAATGTTGGGGTGTGCCAACTCAAAAACTCTGGATCTGGGCCTGGGTGGTAGATGAGTTGGTCAGCCTTGGCCTCCACAGGGCCCCTCTGCTCCCACACCACTGGGAAGGAGGCCTCACTTTCTTCTTTTTATGCAGTTCAGGATCCAGCCTAGGGAATGATGTCACCCACAGTGGGCAGGTCTTTATATTTCAGTGACCTAATTAAGAAAATTCCCTGAAAGCATACCTAGTTGACTGTCTACCAAGTGATTTTATATCTCATCAAGTTGACAACTAGGATTAACCATCACAATACCCAATCCAAGTTAATATGCCATTTCTACATGTTTTGTTTCTCAAACAAAATAGATCTGTATCAGAACTTCCTAGCCTGTTCATCTGGTTGTCTTTGTTTTTGTTTTGTTTTGTTTTGCTTTGTTTTTACTTGTGTGAAATATATTGTTTTAATTACATAGATTTTTCTTTAAAAGTTTTTTTGCTCTTGCATATGAAACTATATGAACTTAAAAATGGCATTGCACAGTTGAAAAAAAGAGATATTATAATTGCATTAAATTTATACTTCATTTTGAAGATATTCACATTTTTATATTCTCTTTCCCCACTTAGGTGTGTAATATGTCTGCAGGAAACTTAAACTATTATTGTTATTATTCGCTTTTAGTTAATAGACGGACTAGTGATCATTATGACAATTTTACACTCTGAGGTCTTTGTCTAGCACATATGTAGTGTGTATTTTACGTATCCGTTAGTGCACACACAGTACAATCAGCTGTCTTGAGTGAAACTGACCACACTCACATAACTTTAAACACAGCATCTTGCTAGTTGTTTCACTTTATTGTATTTACTGTTAGTCTTTTACTATGTCTAGCTTATGAGTTAAACTGTATCATAGATCTATGTATAGGAACAAACAATATATCTGCGGTTTGTGATGTCTATGGTGTCAGGCATTGTTGGGGCCTGGGGACCTATTTTCTGAGCATAAAAGCGAGTAGGTAGATGTGTGTTCCATTGGTTCTGTTTCTCTGCAGAAATCTGAGTAACAGCCATTTACAGTGGTCATTACACAAGGCTGAAGAGGCTGTGGGTGTGAAAACACTGATGTTTGGAACTCAGGAGGAAGGAAGAGACTTCTGAGCATTGAGGCTTCCTTGTCAGGCAGCAGCAAAAGTGGAAATGCTGCCAGCAGCCTCATCCCTCAGTTCAAGGTGGGAGGTATATAGGAGAGGGGCGAGCACTGGGGAGGTGGCGAACCAGAGGTAGAGAGAGGAGGTACAAGGAAGCTTGCAGGATGTGGTGGTTTGAAAAGGTATGGTTCCCATAGACTCGTGTTTTAATGCTTGGCCCATGGGGAGTGGCACTATTAGGAAATGTGGCCTTACTGCATGCCTGTAATACCGGCACTCAGAGAGGTAGAGGTAGGCATATCTCTGTGAATTTAAGGCCAGTTTTGGTCTACAAATCAAGTCCAGGACAGCCAAAACTACACACACATACACACACACACACACACACACACACACACACACACACACCTGTCGAAAGAAAGAAAGAAAGAAAGAAAGAAAGAAAGAAAGAAAGAAAGAAAAAGAAAAGTAGGCATGGCCTTGTTGGAGGAAGCATGTCATTGTGGGGACAGGCTTTGAGGTCTTCCATGCTCAAGTTCTACCCAGTGTGGGATAGTTTCCTTTTTGCTGCCTGTAGATGCTAGGCTCGTTCTCCAGCACCATGTCTGCCTGCATGCTACAGGGCTTCCAACCATGATGATAATTGACTAAACCTCTGAAACTGTAAGCCAGACTCAATTAAATGTTTTCCTTTATATGAGTTGCCTTGATCATGGTGTCTCTTCAGAGTAATACAACCCAAACTAAGATGTTGTGTTAGGGGATATTAGACTGTAGAGGGCTTCTCTACCTCAGCTAGTTCTTAAATAATTGAGACAAATGGTTTTATAAAAGCTTTTATTATATTATTATATTATTATTATTATTATTATTATTATTATTATTATTATTAGGCACAATAAATGGGCAGGCCTCAACCCTCTAATTTATTTTGCTATTTCCCAGCTACACGCTCCGAATTACTTGCCACATTTGTTTCTGCCTGGGCTGCTTCTGTTCTACCAGGCCAGACCTCATGGCCATGTGCTCCTGGTCCCTACTGCCCCACGGTGACTTCCTTCTTTTCCCACTTCTCCTTCTGCTACATCATCTGCTTCCTTTCTCTCCTTCTGGCCTCATGGTTCCTCTCCGACCCCAAGCCCCGGCACCCTCAGTTCTTCTTACTTCTTTTCTGCCCAGTTACAGGCTTCTAGCTATTTTATTAACCAATTAACTTTAAATTGTGTAACTTTGCTCTAAAGTTTACACAACAAAGACCAGTGTAAGTGAGGATGTACTGCTCTGATATATTTTAAAATGTCACGCATACAACAAATCTAATATGAAAGAGGTTTATTTGAGGGAAGGGAAAGGGAAGAGATTTAGGGCCTGAGTGGGCCATGTGGGTAAAGAGAGAAAAACACAGAGCAAGACAGAGAGAGAGACAGAGAGAGATGAGAGGGGGAGGGGGCTCTGACAGAGAAATGGAAGAGAAACTGAAGCAGCAAGGACAAGAAAGCAAAGAGGTGGCCAGTTGGTCCTTTTATATCTGGTGTGCAGCTGAACTGCCACACACCTGGTGTGTCTGCCACACACCTGGCAGGTTCCACATGGTGACATCATAGGTTACTAGGTAATCCAGGAGCAGGCTGCTACAGACTAACAAATACTCCTGTCACTGCAATCAGATCAGGGAGGGGGGCAGCATTTAGCATTAGAATACATAGTACCAGACCAACTCCCAACACTAAGACACAGGAAAAAGGAGAAAAGGCTTTTTTTTTTTCTCACCTAAAGAAGAGCTTGTGTTTGTGGAACTCCTTGGAAGAATTGAAAGTGGGGGGTTGGCAACACTTGCCAGGAACACTGAGCTCCCCATCGTCATAAATCCCTAGCCTATCAACCATCAGTGGCCATATCTGGCTCTGGAACACATGACCTTTGCCTTTAGCTTTTTTCCTTTGAAACACTGCCTGCCACAGCTGGAGATGAAAATGGTCCCAGGCCATCTCCTCATCCCCTCTCTCAATGACCTTGTAGCCTCACCCTTCAGTGGGAGGTGTCTCGGGTGACCCAGGACCACCCCTCTGGTTACAAGTAGAAAGTGTCTGAACTTGCAGGTGAAAGCAGTCACCCAAAGGCTGGTGTGGGTGCTATTAGATCCACATGCTCCCCTTTTGCTTTCTGGCAAAGCTCGGCTCCTTCTGGGTCTCCTCTTTTTACCACTAAATCGCCCAGATTTTCAGCTCCTGCTCTCTGCTGACTCCTCATCACTCCATAAAGATGAGTTCTTTTCCCCAGGGTCCTTTGCCTGCAATACCCTCCGCATCCTCAGTGGGGCTGGCCCATGTCCTTCTGTGCCCACCCAGGGTCCATCTGCAACCAGAGTATCAGCTCTCAAGACAGATGGTTGACTGGTGTACTTGTGTGATCCGAAGAGCCAGGATGCAGATATCCTCAAGGCCAGAGGGGTCCTGGGAGAGGTACCCTAACCCCTCATGTGAGGGTGAGTCCCTCTCCCTGCCAGCTACAGAAAACATGGGTAAATTGAAGGGCTCTTTTAAAAACTCACTAGAGTGCTTTTCACTGTATGTCAACAAGTATTGAATTTAACCTCCCCGGGGTTCAAGTCCTACCAGTTCCACTTGGTAGCAAGCCAAATATATGGTAGCTCAGTCTCTGTCTGAAAAATGGAGACAATGGTGGTGTTTATTTCACAGGACTGCTGAGAGAGGGTGGTGGTTTACCTTGCAAACTTCATAGGACCTAGCATCATCAAGGCAACAAAGGTCTGTGGGTGTCTGTGAGGGCTTTCCCAGAGAGGGTTAACTGAGGTGAGAGGAGCCACCCCAAATGTGGGTGACATCACCTCAGGGCCTGGGACCCTGGATGGAACAAAGGGGGAAGGAGCGAGAAAGCAAACTAAGTACCAGCATACGGCTCTCCGTGCCTCTTCATTGTTTACACAAACGTTTGTACGCGATATGATGCTTGCAATGACCAGATGCCTCGCCTTCCTGTGGCCACGGCGGAAGAAGCCGCTCTGTGGTAGACTGTGTGCTCAGGCCGGAAGTCAGGATAACCCCCCTTTCCCTTCAGCTGTTTTGTCCCTATTTCATCACAGCCACAGGGAAAAGTAACTGAACCAGTGAATGACGTGTCCCTCATTTTCCCCCCAGAACTTAGGGCAGGGTCTGGAAGTTGTAGGTCACTGGTGAATGCGTGATTAACATATGCTCACTTAAAGCGAAATGACACCACCAGAGCCAACCCCATGGCTGAGATGGCTTTCCCTTTAGTTCCCTTTAAGCCAGTGGCCCAGCCACAGGTAGCAGGAGTTGGGAGTGCGTAGTGCCTGGTTCTCCCTTGCAGACAAGGAGTTCAATGTTACTGAGCTTGGCAGTGGCAAGAAGTGTCAAGACTAAGGAGCTACTGGGAAGACGAGGCTTGGGATGTGTTGGTGTGGAGGTCACAGACTAAAGCAAAACCAACAGTTGCCAGAAGGCTGGTCCCGAGAGAATTCTTGCTCCTCCCAGCCCCTCTAACTTTATAGATGTGCAGGGGGACTGTGCAGGGCTGAATTTCAGGGTCCCGGTCCCCGCCCACCACAATGATAACTGCGCGATCCCCTTGCTCAGCGAACCCTCCGGCGCACCCATCGCCGCGCACCTCGTGCACAAAGGGACCCGGCAGCGGCAGTTTTGAAAATATCAAGGAAGTTGATCTGGGCCGGGGCCCAAGCGGTGACGACTAGAGAGGGCGGGGAGGCGGAGGGAGGGAGGGAGGGATGCGCGCGAGGCCAGGACTGCGGGCGCGGGGCAGCACAGCTCGCCCGGCTCCGGCGGGCAGCGCGGCGGCCCCAGCCTGCGACCCCCGGGATCTTCCACCGGCCAAGCCGCCTGAGCAGCGGCACAGCTCCGCATGTGTGCCCACTCGAACCCCAAGATCGCGAGCCGCGCCTAGGGGCGGCCGTCGGTGCCTGAGGAGGACCCCGGCTTCCAGCTTCATCCAGGACTACTCGAGCGCCGCGGGGGCCCTGCAGAGGCCCGCGCAGAAGGGACCATGAAAGGTAAGCGGACTCCCTGGGAGCATAGAGATCACCCATCTTTTCCCCTCGACACGGGCTGGGGTACCCTGGCGCCTGAGCTGCAGGAGGGTTGAGAGTCCCCAGAGCTGGGGAAGATATTCCAGGTCCGGGGGGGGGGAGGGGGCCCTGTCGTTTTTTTACTATCCCTGAAGAGGTAGTGGGGCAGGAGGTGTGGGGGAGGGTGTGGGAGGGGCACAAGAAGAGCCCTAACTTCTTAGTTCGGGGGGGGAAAGAAAATATGAGGGTGAACCATCATCACACGTGGTCCTTGCTGGCGGTGCTGGCCTCACCGCCATTGCTCGCCCTTCAAAACGAATTTAAAGTCCAGAGAAGATCCTGATCCCCTTTCCCCAGTGAGCACAGAAAGATGCTCTGTGTGGATCACAGCAGAGGTTCAATCCCAGAGGCTCCTGTAGACCCCACCCAGGCTTAAGCTGCTCTCTGCCACCCACTTCATCCCCTTCTCAAGACAGTCATGCCAGTCAGAGCCCCAACTGCCCTTCCTGATATCTGTACCCTGTCTAACCCTCCCTGACCTCTGACCTGGGGACAGGGCAACTGAGCAAGCCCTGAGGGCCAGTCAGACTTGGAATTAAAAATCCTTCTTGATTCCAAGCTGCTCCTCCTGGGTCCTGGAGAGCTACAGTGAGAACTTCACCACCTCCGACTTCCTAAGGATCAGTTGGGATGGTGTCAGGGATTCCCAAACCACACTCTCAGGTGTTGCTGAGAAGTTACAGTTGTGACAGGCCCCACCTGTCAAGCCTGTGTCAATTGGAGCAGAGGTGTTGTCTCTTTGGTAGTCGATGATTGGGTATTCAAGTGGGAAAAGGGCCTCCCAGACAAATCTCTGTGGAAACTGCCTGCTCCCTCCTGCTCCAATCTTGCCTCCCTGCATTCCGGAATAACTTCTCCCCACAAGGCATAACATCTCACAAGGATAACGTTTCTACCTCAAGGCAGCTCTTTAGAAGCTGTAAGATTTCTAAAGAGTAAGATTTCCTGTGACACCCTAGGCCCTCAAGGAGTGCAGAGCTGTCAGGGAGAAAATTATTGACTCCCAGCAAGCCCCTCTTCCCAGTACCACCATGATGGAAAGGGCAGGGTAGATTGAAACAGCAAATATTTGGCCTTTGGGATCTTCAGAGTGAAGCTTTTTCTCACTAGAGTGGAAAAAGCATGGTGCCCTTGGGGGGGGGGGGTAGAAGTGGAATATGCTTTCCAAAGAGGCCCTTCCCCAAGGAAAGCTGGCTTTTCTGGCTCCTCCAAGGCCCCACCAATCTTCCAATTACATCTGCTGGCAAAAAACCATAGTCCCCTGCTCAAAGCAAACACAGTGATTTGATGTCTTGTAGAGGAAGGGAGCATTGCTGGGGATAGTATTAAAACCAGAAAACAAGCCTGTTGAGCTCACCCATGTGAGGGCCAGGTGCTGGCAGCCAAGATGTTTCTGATGAAGATGGGTGCAGGGGGGCAGGTGGGGAGCTCCTGCCTGACAGCGGCTGGCCAGGCCTCCCAGGTAGCCATGTCTTTTATGTAAGCTGGCACCTGGTCTCTCTCACACATAAGCCTAGAAGCAAACAGCTGCCACCAGCCTGCTGGTGACAAGCCCACCTCAGAGTTTCCCACTGACTTATGAGCCATTAACAGCCACCTGTGACAGGGGCTTGACAGGAAAGCACACCCACAGCCTCCAGAAGTAGCCTGTTTGGCTGTAAAGGCGGAAACTTGGAACTTCAGAGATGCCAAATTTGCAACTCAGATGTGTTCCCCAGTCCTAGTTCTGCCATTTCCATCTCTGGGTCCTTTTTCTCTTGCTAAAGACTGGGAACTCTGGGCCCCAGGACCGTCTGGTGAGCAGAAGTGATGCCGTGGGGGGGGGGGGGCGTGTGTGTCTCAGCCCCTGAGAGACTGGTGTGCTCAGCTGCCTGCCTGTACAGGGCAGAGCTAGGCTCCACCACTCCTCAGTGCTAGAGGAGCAAGCCATTCCCCAAAACAGAGAGGATCCTGAAACACAGAGCAAGGGCAGGTAGGGAGGAAAGAAGGAGGCAAAAAACACAGCCCTGTGGGGCTGGAGAGATGGTCCAGCGGATAAGGATGCTGGCTGCTCTTCCAGAGTACTGGGGTATGATTCCTAGCACTTATATGCTGTCTCACGGCTGTCGTAACTCCAGTTCCACGCGGATATGATGCCCTTTTCTGGGCTCTGCATGCAACAAGCACATACATGGCACACAGATGACCTACATGTGGGCTATTTTGCCTAGATGTATAAAATAAAAATAAATTAGTAAGGCAAAAACACAGCCATGTGCTTGACATTTGATTTTGGCTAAAAGGCCAAGAAATCATCCCCACTGTGGAGAAGGCCACTCCTCAGCTGGCCTTGCAGAAAGTCATGTTCATTCACGAGGCAGCAGGCTAAACTTTCCATCCCCAGAACCCTGGGCCCAAACAGGGTCAAAACCAAGAGCTAATGGCACAAAGGTGAAAAGAGCCACCAACTAATTCAGGATCCACAGAGGTTATAGGAACTTGGATGTTAGAGATTAGTTCCAAACCATCAGAAGTTGTTACCCTGCTATCCATCTGGGGTAACTTTAAGGCTGGAAGGCTCGTATCTCCGAGCTAATTTGTGAGAGAGGAAAAAACATGTTACTTTGCAACAGATGCTGGTAGACAGCTTGGCAGTTTCCATGGATACACAGCTGGTCTGGGTGTTAGAATTGGCACCCAGGGTAGTATGATGGGCACTGAACTTTTACATTCCTCTTGCATTCAATTATGTTGTGCCATGCGTGTGTGTGTGTGTGTGTGTGTGTGTGTGTGTGTGTGTGTGTGTGTGTTGAGGTCATCCGAGTCTGGCACATACCAGCTTTATTACTGCGCTCCATAGACTCAGTCCCCTCATCAAGTAGCCTGAATGATGCCCCAGAGAGGTATCAGAATATGGAGTTTCACAAGCATTTCTGTCTGCCCATTCCCTGGCGCGCAAGAGAGCTCACCATATGTGTTTATTGTATATGTGTTAATCCTCAACGCACACCGGGATGAGGCCTTTTAAGTCAAGAATCACACCGCCTTATCCTCAGAACTGAGTGCCTCTGCCTAGGGAACATGTATTGACCGCATGGGAGATGCCAGGGTTCTTGTGGTCTTGAGACTGGCATCCAAGAAAGATACAAAGAACCGCTTACACACCGTTTTCTCTCGAGGAGCTTTCCTTTTTCTCGGACACAAGGTTTGAACCCTGTAATTATGAAAGTGACTGCAAGTGGCCAGTGTTACAAAAAAGGTGTCAAGGAGAGAGTGTGTGACGGTAGCTTCCTCTAGCTATTTTATTTGTCATTTTGTTTTGTTGTTTTTGATACTCCATGGCCTTGAGTGTGAATTCCTGCAGTCCCGCTGGACACCTTTCCAAATGGACCTAGAATGATTGTGCCTGGACCCTAAGGTCCTAGCCTGTGTTTCCGGTAATGTCAACAGCTCTATTGGAGACTGCTGACCTTTCTTCACAGTTTGAGGAAAGTACCTTTACCCCCATCTGAACCTAAGTGGGACAGGTGCGCATTCTGAGATGTCACCCTACCCCTTCCAGACAGTCCATATGTATGGGAGACTTGCTTTAGGGATGAGGCATGGCCGCTGAGAGGCAAGCAGCTTGGCAGATGGGAAACATGTTCACCCAAGGACAGAGCTGAATAATCAGGACAGATGGCAGAGAAAAGCAAATGGGTGACATGGACGGTGGACTCAGTCGGACTCCCAAAGAGCAAGGAAATGAATGTTCAGAAAGGGCTTCAGCTACAAGTCAAAGGTAGGGCGACTTGGACCAGGTAGCTGGGGAGTCTGGATGTGGCTCCAGTGAGTGCTGAGCCTCGGGTCCTTCGGGAAGTATGCTGGTGGGCAGAGAGATTTGCCTAGAGTTAAGAACTTGCTGAGAAGCTGAGGGCCATAGGTCAAGGCAGCCTTGTGCCCTGGTATCTCCTGCTGTCATTGGAGAACCCAAAGGGCTTGTCAGAAAAAGGCACATTTGATACCCCTCACTAGGCTCATCCTCTTATAGTTTATCCTGTGTCGGGAAATCTCTACTTTTCGAGGGCGAGGGGAAGAAAACAAGAGCCAAGAGGCAAGGTTTAGAACTCAAAGAACGAGGCATGGAAAGTGAGAGGAGGAAGCATGCCATACTGTTGGTGGTGATCAGAGTTGAGAGGGAGTTAGTAGGCCGAGAGGAAGCTGTGTGTGAGGGAGACTGAGGCACAGGTGCAGGGACCTTGCAGGTGAGAGTTTCAGGAAAAAGGAAGTAGGTTCGTAGAGTGAGAACTGAAGCTGGGCCTGAAGAGACAGTCAGCACTCATTGGAAGACAAAGGAAGAGAAGGAAAAGGGAAAGCAGGAACAAGGTCCTGGAGCAAGAGTCAGGGACCGTGTCCAAGATGTGAGGAAGCATCCTTAGGACTTGGACAGAAGCATTCCTAGGTTGCTATTCCACAAATCCAAACACTTCAGAAAGGGGGGAAATTCAGCACTTACGAAACCCCACACCCCAGAGCTGACAGATGACAAGACATAGCTGGACAGATTCCTTAAAATTTTATATGCACACATCGACCTTTCCCCTACAAAGATAAAAAGATACTCTCCATGTTACTCTGCCTTGTTGTTTTTACATTTACAGTGTTGTTATGTTTACACTGTAAACTTTACTCTTTTGGTGGGGTTGGCAGTATATTTTATGGTATGCATACCACAGCTCACATGCAGAGGTCGGAGGATAACTTCTGGGAGTTCTCTGGGATCATGTGGGATCCAGAGGTTGAACTCAGATTATCAGGAGTGGCAGCAAGTACCTTTACCCACTGAGCCATCTCACCATCTCTATATGTAGTTTGTTAAATTAACAAAAGGTAATTGGGGTGTAGACTCGTGGTAAGACTTGTGTTTGGCATATGCGAAGCTCTGGGTTCAATCTCTAACATTAAAG